TCTAATCCATCATCAATCATGTGGGGGATTTTAAGTGGTGACTGTTCTTTGCCTAGTCATGCCACTATTACAGTTTCTGTATGATGTGATTTTTCAGGAGTTGAAGGTTCAAGATCTAGTATAGGTCCTGTCATCAATATGCCTCCTGCTGATTTGAGTATATTCATACCCATAGATTCTTCTGATCCCAGAATGAATCGATGATAGTAGTCAGCTCCAATCAGGATTCCGATATCTCCTATGTAGTCAGAATCAAGTAGAGGATCTGCTAATTGGATTCCTTTTTCTTTTAGGAATTTAATTGTTGCTGTCAGACCAGTCACTTCCATTTCAGTAGGAATTTTATCAACTACTATGGCTTCTACTGTCCTTTGGGATGTACCTAGACAGACATTGAGTTTTACTACTGGAAAGGTTCTACGACCAGAATTAGTAAAAAACCCTGATATGGATGTAGATACTTGCTTTGAAGATTTAAGTTGTAAATCTTCTGCCATCTTTTTACTGATAAAGGTTTTCTGTGACCCTTGATCAAAAAAGCCTCTAGTTGGAATACAAATTCCTTGATTGCATAGTTCTAGCTGTGCAGTAGGCAATATGGCTGCTGTAACAATTTCTGTATCCAAGTCGTTGACATTGCTCATTACTGTACAGAATTGTACGGCTGTTGTGGTATTATCATCTTTGGGCTTTGCCTGAGATGCAGGTTGATTATTGGAAGTCTGTGATCTGGATTGAGTGTTAATATCACTACAGAGTGCTGTGTGATGTACACTTTTATGACAATATTGGCAGTTTTGCAATGGAGTGTTACACTCACTTGTATCGTGCTTCCGTAGACAACGGATGCACCTGTTCAGAGATTTCAGTCGATCGATTCGACTGGCACGGCCTACATAAACTGTGCATTGATAAATGGTATGTGCTTCTTGACAGAATAAACATTTTGGGGCACTTGTAGCTCCTTTTGTCTTATCTGTCTTAGGAGCTTGGTTTCCTACAGTTCTGTTAACTGTGGGGGATATAGCATAAGAGCCAACATTATTCTGTTTCCACTTTGCAGAAGAGGAGTTTTGTTGCCTTGATTTTTGACTGCCATTCTGGACATTTTTGCTTTTGTCCGTGGATTCACCTTTGGGGATTTTTTCTTGAGATCTAAGTTTTCCTCGGCTTCGTAATCTTTGTACGTAAGCTCGAAGTCCATCAATGATTTGGCTTTGTGATAAGATGTTGTTACAAGTATGTAAAACTTGTAGGTAAGTAATTACATGCAAGTAGGTGATACAAGCATGTAACACTTGTACTCCTCCAAGGATTTCCTTAAAGGATGAATTGTATCTGTAATAATGTGTATCTACATTATTCATGATGTGATGAAGCATTTTGCTTTTGCTTTTTTCTCGGCTTTGCCTTTTCTATTAAGTAAGTCTCTGAGATGCTTGATTAACTTCAGATTTTCTGAGGCTGCTTTCACTCCAGTGAAAGCATGAGATTAGGTGATCAAGACTATATTCTTGGATTAAGATAGTTATCTTAGATGGATGATAATATTTGTATTGACATTGTCAACGTGTTGTTAGCCTTTCAGATTGTGTTGTGAGATTAAGATTGGTCTTAATCCCCAATTGTAGACTATTGTAGCCAAGTGATGATGACATTTGTCTATCACCTGATTTAAATGGTCTTTAGGCTGTAGATTCAAGTGATTTTTTAGACACTTTGTGTCCTCTTCTTTTCTGTTTCAGCTGCAGGTGGAATACTGTTAGTCATTTTGACCTTTTCCGAGTTTCGGAGATTCCGAGATTTTTCTCTTTTTCTGATAAATATGTTTGATGTTAATGTATTTTGATAAATGAGCTTTCCTGTCTACTTAGGTAATGATTCCAAAGATCGTCCTTCATTTCCTCCCTGGAATCTGGTTGTAGCAGGTGTTCAATTATCAAAAGTATTGTAATAATTTGATTTGTGACCCGAATGCACGAATGCACCAAGTTGGTAAATCCTGTAATAATTTTTTAAAAATAGTAAATGGCACTATTTTGCAAAGTTATTACAAAATCTGTTACCATAATAATTGTTAGATAAAATACAGTAGAATGTCTACTGGTTTTACCTGGAATAGGGTTTGTACAGTTGATTATGGATAGATTGTAATGAAATGCTCTTACAGTGATGATAACACTTTTTTAAAGAATATTATGTAATGAGCAGCTCTGAAAATCAGTAGATTAGAGATAATGCTAGATAATACACTTAAATATATATGTAATGTTACCACAATGAGGTAGATAATTGATATTTATGATTAAGATGCAGTTGTGTCTGTGACACTGATATAATTAAGTACTGTGGTTTCTTAACACAAAACAATATCAGTTTGTTATGAATGCTTACTAGTTAATGGATATGGTGGCTTAAGCCACTGCAAACTATTTGTTTACTTAGATATATGGCTATGATAAATATTGGCTGATAGCTAGGTTAGGCTAGAATATGTAAGAATTATTCCAATGCAAAATCAAGAAGTTTCTTATGTATTTGGCACTGAAATATTCGGTAAATGAATGATCATAAATATCTAGGTACAAAAGACCATTATTATCTAGGTTCGAAGGACCATTAATGTGGGAAAAACCTGCCGGGATTGATATAAGAGGAGACTACCAGGGACTTGTACTGAACTAAATTAAAAAATTACTGTCTGCAAATTAATTCAACTAAAATCTCTAGCTAGGGTTGTAAATCCTAGATCCTCTTTTCCTAATGACAGACTGTGGGCTGTAAGGGACAGGTGGGGTGAATGACTTGTTGATAGAAGTTCCAGTCCACCTGTAGACAGGGATCTCACATCAGCTTGTATTTTATACAAGGATAAGATTTGATAAATTCAGTTATCTGACTGAACACTGGCTCTGTTTAAATCAGAGATTTAAACATACATAGTCTAACCTAGTACCATAACTTAACAGCCAATAGATTCTTATACTATAAACAACAAATTAAATTGTAAAAGTATAAATAAATGACCTTAAATGTAGTCTTAATACTATTAACTTAGTACTAGAAATTATATTCAATTAAATGAACTTATATGATAACTTATAAATAACTAAGCAAGCAATTGATAACTTAATTTATATATTCAAATATATATGCAGACATATTCACTTTATACAGTTAGCTTGACTGAATCTCTTCCAAGACCGTGGACACTTGTGAGGTTTTTACTTATTGAGGCTGAATTCTTTTCTGACAGAATGGACACTCATGAGGTTCAGTGCTTGGATAAGATTCACAGCTACACTACAATTTTAATAAACGTACCGATGTATGAGGCTTAGCCTCGCTTTTTAACCAACAGACAGATTTATAGGATATTAAAGCTACACAAGCATACAATTGGCCAATCATATACCAAATAACCTTCAATATACTTCTCTGCCAGTCGGGGTGCCTGTCTGACAAGTTTGCCAGACTGATTAACTCTCTTGTCGAGTTTAGGCACGATATTTTGCTACAGCGTTGCTGTATGATGATCTGGTAGCGTTGCTAAGTGATTATCCTGCAGTTGCAGAAGAATGATATGATAAAGATAAAGAATGAAGATGGAGGAAACCGTGTCACCGTGATCTCCACTATACACTCTTATTTATGTAATGTTCCAGGATTTTCCTTGTAGATATTGTCCAGGTACTCCCCCAGTTCTAGAGAGTATTCACTGGCGATAAAAATGTTAGATAAGGTGTCCTTGAGCTGGTAATGTTCGCTAAGGATCAGTCACTTGTTCACTCATTTGTAAACAAACGCGGAGTGCCGCGAGGCATCGTCGTGGGCGCTTCTCGCCCCCCGAGATGCTCCTCCCTCCCCTTGAGAGGTAACTTTCAATGAATATTGATTGATTATTTTTACAGTCTAGACTTATGATTAAGATAAGATGTGATTATAATATAATTAGATATAAGATTTAAAGATTATAAGTAGTATTTGAAAGTACCACTGAATCTTATTAAGGATTCGATTTTTAATCCTACGGATGTTGAATCAATGTTCCAATAGTTTTTTAATTAAGAAGTCCTTCTAGAAGCTTCTGGATCCTTGAAAGATCATGTACAAAGTCACGTAGGCATCAAAAGGGCCCCTGTTGAGTACGTGTTCATGGTGCCATTGTCATCTAGGATCAAGCTATAATGAATCTTTAAAGATTCATTATATGATTTTGATACAATTTAGATATGATTTTGATATGATTTAGATATGATATAGAAATTATACATTTCTTAGATGATTATTAGATATGGTGGGTAAAAATTTCCCACAACAATGTTTAATACACATTATATTAAAATTGATGAATGTGTCTGGGGGAGGACGGTCGCAATGGTCGACCCGGGCACCGCCGAGTAAGCCATTTAGTACATGTTTGATAGAAGACGCATTACCGAGTTTAATACCCCGTGGTGTATATAGTGTGTTGACGCCTCTTGCTGCAGAGGTTCCCCACCTGTCATGACCCGCGAGCAGCCCGCCCCGGGTGTCAGGTGAGGCGGCCTCACTCTGTGTCGCTTTTGGGTCCAACCTGAGCCTCACTAACCACTTAAACAAGACCTCTTGTCCTCTTTCTTCACTGTAGAGTACCTGTGTACTACAGTGCCCAGTAACCTTCACTGTAGAGTACCTGTGTACCACAGTGCCCAGTAACCTTCACTGTAGAGTACTTGTGTACCACAGTGCCAAGTAACCTTCACTGTAGAGTACCTGTGTACCACAGTGCCCAGTAACCTTCACTGTAGAGTACCTGTGTACCACAGTGCCCAGTAACCTTCACTGTAGAGTACCTGTGTACCACAGTGCCCAGTAACCTTCACTGTAGAGTACCTGTGTACCACAGTGCCCAGTAACCTTCACTGTAGAGTACCTGTGTACTACAGTGCCCAGTAACCTTCACTGTAGAGTACCTGTGTACCACAGTGTATTATTAAATTCCGTCTCGATATTGACAGGATGCGAGTGTTGGTGGCGGCGGCGGCGGTGTTGGCGGTGGTGATGGTGGTGGTGCCGGTGCCGGGAGCTGAAGCCCAAATGTCGCTGGGGCCTGGCGGGTTCGGCTTACCACCAATCAACATTGTGTCCGTTTTCAAGTGAGTTCCCACCCACAGTTTGTTTATAAAGGGAGCTTCCTGCTATGTCAGATTCCTTAATAACAGAATTCCTTTTGTGTGTAAACACTTCCAAGGTGAGCTCTTTGCTTCCAGGTACAGTCCCCAGGTGTACCTGTATGTACCCCCTCACCCCAGGTACAGTCCCAGGTGTACCTGTATGTACCCCCTCACCCCAGGTACAGTCCCCAGGTGTACCTGTATGTACCCCCTCACCCCAGGTACAATCCCAGGTGTACCTGTATGTACCCCCTCACCCCAGGTACAATCCCAGGTGTACCTGTATGTACCCCCTCACCCCAGGTACAATCCCAGGTGTACCTGTATGTACCCCCTCACCCCAGGTACAGTCCCCAGGTGTACCTGTATGTACCCCCTCACCCCAGGTACACTCCCAGGTGTACCTGTATGTACCCCCTCACCCCAGGTATAATCCCAGGTGTACCTGTATGTACCCCCTCACCCCAGGTACAGTCCCAGGTGTACCTGTATGTACCCCACCCCCTCCTCACCCCAGGTACAGTCACCTGTACGCCCCCCCCCCCCCCGACCCCAGATTTGACAGGTGCATATATCCGATTTATTAACAATGTATTCATATATACACACATGTGTATACGAGACAGTAAGCCTAGCGCCTCCTCAGGTTCGTCCGGGACTTCTTCCTGGCCCTCCTGTCTCCTGCCGCCGCCAGTCCCGCCAAAATTAGTGAAGCCAAAACCACTGAAGTTAACAGCAGTTCCCCGGCCGCCGTCAATGGCACCAAGTCCACGATGACCAACCAGCGGGAAGAGAAGGTTAGTTCTCCAGCGGCACTCACCCGTAAGGGTTCATACCCAGGCTGGCGGGCGCTGCTTGGGGCAGTGCCCCAGCACCTAGGCTGGGCACTTTCATGGTTTATTGGGTGTGATCCAGCCTGGCGTGCTGGTATGGCGCCGGTACCCATGACAATACCCCGCTCTAGGCCAAGGTTAACACGCCATGTTCCCAGAATTTGTTATTGTTCCCGCCATTATCGGCTAGTTCCTCACGCACCCCATTCTCGCCCTGTGAGCGGCTGTGTTGTCACCCCTCATAAGGCAACATTTGTATACCTTATAAACTATATTCAACTTCACAGTTTAGATATGTTGTTTATAGAGGTTGACCTGAGCTTTGGTATATCTATATATCTAGCTGAGTATCTGAGTGTGTGTGTGTTGTGAACCAGATGACTTATGTGTCTCTTAGAGCGGGGCGGAGGCCACGACCCGGGAGCCCTACCTGGCGGACCTCAACGACTCGGACGACGAGGTCACCATCATCACTGTCGAAGACCACGAGCCCAGGATCGTCGAGAAGGTGAGAGGGCGGGTTACTGGGGAGGTGTGAGGGGGGTTGGGGGTTACTGGGGAGGTTTTTTTTTTTTTTTTTTTTTTTTTTTTTTTTTTTTTTTTTTTTTTTTTTTTTTTTTTTTTTTTTATTTTCTACCACAGACGTGGCCACACATTTACAATGCTAACCAGCATATATACATTTTCTTCTGTCCTCCATGGGCAGGGTTAGAGAAGTGTTAACATACAGTTCAAGGGTTTATTGAACACTCAACCACAGAAGGTGATTCGGTGCTTTTAAAATGCTAAGCTAACCTACATACGTAAATACAAAGATACACAGATTTACGTACGCCCTACATAAAGTATTAGATGTGTCTTTTACATAGTGTCATTAATGTACATTCACAAAGGTGAAATGTAATTCTGATCAGCTTCCATATTTGCTTTATACCCATACATATACATACACACACACACACATACACATACATATATACACACATACATGCATTCACATACATTTGTCTCATTTACCCTGACAGGGTGAGGTAGCTGATAAAGAAACTAGTGTGCAATTAAGCACTTAATCACTGAAGGTGATGAAGGTGCTTTTACAAGCTCAGGTTATATAGTTACATCACATACATACATTGTATGATTGATACATTACATGGTCAATTTTGGATACAAGTCCAATATATCATCAAGTGTTCCAGTACTCATATAGTAACTACAGAGTTCAGCATACCTTAGCCCAGGAGGGCGAAAGTCAGTCAGTATGGGACATTCTACAATATAATGTTCAAGAGAGTGCATGTTTTCTCTTTCACAAAGTTGACACATTGTGTACTCGACATTTGGGTTTTGAGAAAGCTGCCAGATACGTCTATATCCCAGGCGTATTCTGGCCACTATAACATCACATTGCCGGGTTCTTGTTCTATTAGTCCCATATGTGAATGTCTCCTCACGATATCTATCATAATGGGGAGGTGTGAGGGGTGAAGGTGATGGGGGGTGGGTTGCTGGGGGAGGTGTGAGGTGGGGTGGGTTGCTGGGGAGGTGTGAGGTGGGGTGGGTTGCTGGGGAGGTGTGAGGGAGTGATAAACTCGTAACAGGAATAATATACACTTCCCTCGTCTAAATAAATCGGACAGTAAGCCAATTTTCGAAGAGATAGATGGTATAAAGACACAGTAATATGTGTGTGTGTGTTGGGAGGGGGGGGGGTTATCTTGAGATGATTTCGGGGCTTTAATGTCCCCGCGGCCCAGTCCTCGACCAGGCCTCTACCCCCAGGAAGCACGTATACCCCGTTTATATAGGGAACGGGGTATACGAGGTATACAGAGGCTGGGCACGTGACAGCTGACTAACACCCAGGTACCTATTTTACTGCTAGGTAACAGGGGCATAGGATGAAAGAAACTCAGCCCATTGTTTCTCTCCGGCGCCCGGGATCGAACCCGGGACCACAGGATCACAAGTTCAGTGTGCTGTCCGCTCGGCCGACCGGGAGGGCTTAAACCTCGGGGGGATTAGTTGAAAATTAGGAACAGGTAACTCACAGGCTGAATTCCTGATACTGATGGAAGATTGCTGTCTACTATAGTGTGTTGCTGAACCCGACAGAAACACTGATACTCTGGCTTTGGCCCTGGCAAACAGAGACAATATAGAAGTAGGCAACAAATTAGGAAATAGTTATCCATGAGAAATGATATTTAACACAGCACAGCAACGTAGTGTGAGAGAAAGCTTTGTCAGGGCGTTAGATTTCCCAAAACTTGAATTTGAAAGACTGAAGGGTTTATTGGAATGGATAGATTAGCTGAATCTGAAAATGGAAGGTGGGCTGTTCTTAGGTGACGTGAATCACGTCACGTCACGTCTTAGCGGTGGGTGACATGACAATGGATTACGATGTCAATTCCAATTATAATAAATTTATAAATTTTAGTAATTCAGAAGAGCGTAGTAAACCATATAAATTGATTAGCTCAAATAACATTTGGGCAAAATGAATAATCACTAGGCTAAAGAACCTTATCAGAAATGTTAAAACAGGAATAAGAATCCTATATAAATTATGATACACTTAGAACAGAGCAAAGACTAAAGATTTATATTCAGATATATCAACAAGGGTTAGGGAGAAGACTGGGCCGTTGATCAGCAGGTCAGGTAACTCATAATGACAAATAAATGGGTGGAATTTTAAATAAGTACTTTGTATTTACTAGAGACGACCTCCATATTTTACCTACACCTGGAGAAATTTATGTAGGTGGTTAATAGGTCATGGTGATTAGTGGTTATCAGGGAAGAAGTTATTAAATTAATGTCCAGCTTGTCCCCAGAGCCGGAGGAAGTGTTTGCCTAGGTAAAGTAGAACTTATAAGCCCTTGTCTTGTATAGTTAATTATTATAGTCGATCACAACACTGGAATCATGAAGATTTGCTACACTCTCCTTATAAATCACATCTATATTTTCCTGTAACTCTGTAGGACAAGATCAAACGACCATAAAATGACATCTTCGTAACCTCAGAGTAATTACACTCATCAATGTTGACATTTGTCTAGCTCTCTGTCTCTCTCTCTCTCTCTCTCTCTCTCTCCTTCGTTCAGTAAATTAGTCAGCTTTGTCTAGTTGTCTCGCAGCGGCCTTCCCAGTTCTGCCACGTTCAAAATGCTGACAAATACTTCTCTATGTGAGCGTTGCTGAAAATCCGACTCTCTACAGTCTCCTATGAGCACTACCAACCGCGTCACGTAGTGGGACTTGAGGCCACTCTCGGCCAGTCCTCTGTGCTCCCAGGAAGCTGTTCAATTATCAGTGTTCTTCTTTTCCAGTTGAGCTTTCTGTGCCTCAGTCTTTGCTACATCCTTTTACTTTTTTTAGTCAAGCTCTGATCTTTCTCTTCTATTTGATAATATAGTTTTCTCTCTTCCTGGGCCTCAATCTCTGCTATCCTGATCTCTCTTTGTTCTACTTCTACTTCTACCATTTTCATATGCATCTCTGGTGAGCATGTCAAGTCATGCTCAGAGGACGAACAAGATATCTCAAGAAAGGCAATCTGAGGTGAAAGACATTTGGGGGGACGATAACAGCCTGTGTCCGGCTGTTATCGTCCCCTCAAATGTGTTTCACCTCAGATTCCCTTTCTTGAGATATCTTGTTCGTCCTCTACACAGACCCGCCTTCCCTGTGTTGCTATCCTCAGTTTGTATCTGGAATCATCTAGTGCATGATTGAAGCAATTATCCTTCAATCCTCGGTAGGAATCAGTTCCATAATATTCTGCAATCTTTTCAAATTTCACAGATTGCATCAATACTGTCTCCTTCAATGTTGCGTGAAACTGTTCCATTATTCATCTCACCGATACCAATCCCTTACAGAATCTTAATCGATGTAGGTCATGTTAGTACCAGATCCTCTGGTGGATCAAGTCTCTCAGTGAACCCCTTGCTCCAGTTAAAATTCCCTCCCAGGACAGACTTCCAAAATATTACATTTACTGTACATTAACGTGACCCTTTGGGACGTGACCCTTGGGACGTGACCCTTAGGACGTGACCCTTGGGACGGGGACCCTTGGGACGGGACCCCTTGGGACGTGACCATTGGGACGTAACACTTGGGACGTGACACTTGGGACATGACCCTTGAAACGTGACCCTTGAAATGTGACCCTTGGGACGTGACCTTTGGGACGTGACCCTTGGGACGCGACCATTGGGACGTGACCCTTGGGACGCTTAGGGCTTGACTTCAGGGTTTACTTCAGACAAGTAGAGGATTCTGCTTTACCTTCAGTCTCACACACACCAAGTCCTCAGTCAACCCCAGGATATCTCTGGAGATATCCTGGGGTTGACTGAGGGTTGTCTCTCAGCCGATATCCTGGGGTTGTCTTTACTTATTGACCTTTCACCTTACCTTGGTGTGTGTGTGTGTGTGTACAGTTTGACGCCGGGTGCGAGGAGGACGACAACGGAGACTGCCTGGAGGCGCCGTCGCCGGCCGCCAAGGACGGACTGATCACGCCCAACGTGGCGGCCACGTCAGCAGCGCTCCTGGGCAGGTGGCCCGTTGGTTACATCGTCTTCATCATCATCTGCTTCTGGATCACCGTCGTCATCTCCACACCTTACTTCATCACCGGCGAGACCATCGCTAGGAGGGATGAGGAACACACCTACCTTGGACTAGTCGACCAGCAGGTAAGCTCAGGGAGGGAGGGAAGGAAGGAAGGAAGGAACTATCAGGGGGAAAGCGCCAAGCCATTACGACTATATAGCACTTGGAAGGGGTCAGGATAAGCATTTGGGATGGGACGGGAGGCAGGAATGGTGTCCAACCACTTAGACGGTCGGGGATTGAACGCCAACCTGCATGAAGCGAGACCGTCGCTCTACCGTCCAGCCCAAATGGTTGGACAGGGAGAGAGAGAGAATGAGGGTATAGTTCTAATACACTTGCCCCGTTACTGATTTCGTCTGGGTTCGAGCCCTGGCCAGGGAGGGGGTGACCAGATCGAATCCTAAACTGTTCTCCCCTATTCACTTATCAGTAATTGGTAAAGTGGTTGTAAACCTTGTGTTTCAGGGGAAGAATACTAGTAGGGGGTAAGGATTTTAAGATAAATACGTGAAGGGTAAGCTCAAACCTTGCTAACAGGAGTCAGAACTTGTCTACTCCTGCTTTTGTCACCTGTGGTGACAAAAGAGAGAATGAATTAATGGTGTATGAGGGGTGACCCTCCCTGACAACGCACAATGTCTTCAGAGGCGGGTAAAGAATTGGAAAAATGAAAAAAAACTAATTAGACCCCAAAGCCACAAATCAGAGAATGAATAATTAACGAGAATTTCAGATATGTGGGCTGGTTGTGTAATGTTCAGCCCCGTTGTTGTGACTCGCTTGCTGCACAAGAAAAACATTCCTCTATAATAGAAAATGGAAGCAACGTCAGAAATGTTATGCTAATTATGAGTACCTTAATAAGTTCAGTACAATGACATTATTCACTCTAAATATTGTCTGTGATCATTAGTCTTACTGTACAATGTTCACGTAACTCTTTCATACGCGGCTAAACCTGGTGTGGTGTGGGACAGGACATCCTGCTGCTGCTGGCGTGGCTGCTGGGGGAGGCCAGCCACGACAACTCCTGTCTGGAGAGGATCGTCTGCCTCACGCCCGACAAGTCCTCCAAGTACCTCACCGTCTCCTCCATGATCTTCAAGGTGGCCGGCTACCTCCGAAGGTCAGTAACTGCTCCTGTTGTTAGTTTAGATTCAGCTACTCGGAACAAAAAGTTAAAAGTAGCACGGGCTTTGGTGAGCCCGTTGAGTACCTGCTCCTGTCTCTAATATACTTCTCTTATTGTGGGTGGGGTGGAAGCGGAGTCTAGGGTTGGGGGGTGGAGGCAGGGTCTAGGGTTGGGGGGTGGAGGCAGGGTCTAGGGTTGGGGGGTGGAGGCAGGGTCTAGGGTTGGGGGGTGGAGGCAGGGTCTAGGGTTGGGGGGTGGAGGCAGGGTCTAGGGTTGGGGGGTGGAGGCAGGGTCTAGGGTTGGGGGGTGGAGGCAGGGTCTAGGGTTGGGGGGTGGAGGCAGGGTCTAGGGTTGGGGGGTGGAGGCAGGGTCTAGGGTTGGGGGTGGAGGCAGGGTCTAGGGTTGGGGGGTGGAGGCAGGGTCTAGGGTTGGGGGGTGGAGGCAGGGTCTTGGGTTGGGGGGTGGAGGCAGGACCAAGGGTTGGGTGTTCTACCAGTAACACACCACCATTCTGCCCACAGATGGGTTCCCTACAGTCCCCGGTACGTCGACCAGCTGCACCACTTGAACGAGGTGGCCGAGAATGGCTTCTCTCAGTCCTGCCACAAGTACTCCTGTCCAACCGTGCCAGAGCTCTAGGCAACACCTGCTCCCCAACGACGCGGTCTTTCTGGACGGCTCACCCACACCCTCGTGGAGATGGTTCGTCCCACACACACGTTCTGGAAATCACACATTGATTAGCTTGCAGGATTCCAGAAGTGTACATCCAAGTGTTTATCATCCTACTGTAGTTGTTGGAAACTCTTATCCTGTAGGATTGGTTACCTCGTTAGTCTTGTTTGTATTACGTTCCCATACTCCTGGGCATCATCCAACATGTCTAACACCGCCCTCAGTCTTGTATCAACACAACAGTTGATCTTCAAAATGTTAATAACAAAAGCAGCAGTCAAGCTTACGACGCTCGGTATTTCGTTGTAGACAGATTGCCAGAGACCGAGTCAGAAGTGAAGTCGAGTTGTGAAAATGTAAACTTTCAAGCCAAACCCAAAAGTTGCTGAATGTGGGTGTAAGCATCCTAGTTTATAGCCAAATTAAAACTTTCTCTCGCATATTCTTTCCTAAGCTATATGATCTTAAATGTGTGCCAGGATCCACTGAGCACTCACGGACTCTACTCGTCTTAGCGACTCTCATAAGCTCCAATGTTAAGCTCGTAAATGTAAACTGTGGCTTCCTCGGGTTTCTTATGGTGTGTAAAACATTGTTATTGTGCGCTCCCCCCCCCCCCCCGTTAATATTGTTATATTAACGAATTAATTATAGTTCATTAGAAAATCACAACAAACTCTTAATGATCTAAAATAATTTATAATCACTGGGATAAGAGTGTTATCTCTCGAAAATAACTCTACAAGTTCATGGCTTATATTAGCCTAGTCCCGAGTAATGAATATATTTACAACAAAACAATGCTCACCTCATTACTTGTAACATGACACACCCTCTTCACACATGCACATTCAAATACCTGAAGTGGATCACTCAAGACGGCACTAGATAATTCATTTGTTGTGTCCTGTAAATAGTAACCGGTAATTTTCTGGCGCTAGATATGCCCCATTCAACTGGCGTGCGGCCAACTGCCAGTGGTCGGGGTCAACTGAGGACCGTGACGCAGCGCTGTGTGCTGCCTTACTTCCATGACGTAACTTAACAATGTTACCGTTGATTGGGTAATTTATCTTTTACGTGGTGCTTGAGAACTCTCGGTTACCACCAAGTGACAGCGTCGACCTCCAGAGGTGAAGTACCAGCGTCGACCTCCTGAGGTGAAGTACCAGCGTCGACCTCCTGAGGTGAAGTACCAGCGTCGACCTCCAGAGGTGAAGTACCAGCGTCGACCTCCAGAAGTGAAGTACCAGCGTTGACCTCCAGAGGTGAAGTACCAGCGTCGACCTCCAGAGGTGAAGTACCAGCGTCGACCTCCTGAGGTGAAGTACCAGCGTCGACCTCCAGAGGTGAAGTACCAGCGTCGACCTCCAGAGGTGAAGTACCAGCGTCGACCTCCAGAGGTGAAGTACCAGCGTCGACCTCCAGAGGTGAAGTACCAGCGTCGACCTCCAGAGGTGAAGTACCAGCGTCGACCTCCTGAGGTGAAGTACCAGCGTCGACCTCCAGAAGTGAAGTACCAGCGTTGACCTCCAGAGGTGAAGTACCAGCGTCGACCTCCAGAGGTGAAGTACCAGCGTCGACCTCCAGAGGTGAAGTACCAGCGTCGACCTCCAGAGGTGAAGTACCAGCGTCGACCTCCTGACGTGAAGTACCAGCGTCGTATTACCACTCACTAACAATGCTGATTATCAAATACTGCGGAGCTTGTCCTATTTTCTGAGTTCGATCACCTTTCAATACTCGCGGCTGGAATCCTGATGTGCATGATACAATTTGTCGCTACTAATTTATGAAGCTCATTCACAATATCCAAACTATAATAATAATAATATTTTTTATGAAAATGTACAGACATGTGATACATGAACAGTGGTGAACTTGAAGGTAAGATAAGTACAATATATCAAGCCACTAATACGCAGAGCGGCCATAACGACCGCTCCCCACACAATAGTAAACATTCACCTGACGGAAAAGCACTCTGACTTTTTCTTCAACATGGACAAGGTCTGCTAGAAGTAGGCCTTCAGGAGTCTGCTGTTTTCTATGAGATCAGTTCTCCTTAATAAATGGGTCGAGCTTCGGTCAGACGAATCCTCAAGAGAAAATAGAACTGAAGTGAGACTCAAAATTTCTTGAGGCTTCAGAGAGGTGATGAGTTCAGCTCACTCGCGGGTCATGTGATCAATAAAGGAAATAGGTTTTCGTGACCTCACACCTAAGTTATTCTCTATCTTGTTTGACCAAAAATATTACAAAATACTGATATAGCTTCATACAACTTGTAATATACGAAATTATGCTTTTTAATTTGAGTTAAATATATTCTGTAGCAGTCCTATGTAAATGTACTGGAGAATATTACTCTCACAGATGAAGAGTGATATTAAGATGGACCACTGGAAGGTCACACTGAGAGGTGGACCTTGTGTGGTGAGGCAGTCACTAGACCCACCTCACACTCACGACTCTTGTTGTTGTTCTTGTAATTTATTTGTTAATTCCCACCACTTATACAGTATAATATATATATATATATATATATATATATATATATATATATATATATATATATATATATATATATATATATATATATATGTTATTGTACCTCACCTCACTCCACCATTCTCTCCTGCCTATATATGTCCAATACTTGACTTATAAAACTCCTTCTGAAGATGTATTAATATATATATATATATATATATATATATATATATATATATATATATATATATATATATATATATATATATATATGTCGTACCTAATAGCCAGAACGCACTTCTCAGTCTACTATTCAAGGCCCGATTTGCATAATAAGCCAAGTTTTCATGAATCAATGTTTTTTCGTCTACCTAACCTACCTAACCTAACCTAACCTAGCTTTTTTTGGCTACCTAACCTAACCTTACCTATAAATATAGGTTAGGTTAGGTTAGGTAGGGTTGGTTAGGTTCTGTCATATATCTACGTTAATTTTAACTACAATAAAAAAAAATTGACCTCATACATAGAGAAAAGGGTTGCTTTATGATTCATAAGAAAAAAATTATAGTAAATATATTAATTCAGGAAAACTTGGTTTATTAGGCAAATCGGGCCTTGAATAGTAGGCTGAGAAGTGAGTTCTGGCTACTAGGTACGACATATATATATATATATATATATATATATATATATATATATATATATATATATATATATATATACGAAGAACTTTTGTATTTATACAAATTATTTAGCCATATGTTAAGTTTGTTGTGAACCTGTTTGTATAATATTTATGACGATATTTATGTTTTTCCAAATATATATTGTATAACCAAACTTACTGTTTCCTTGTCTCCTTAACAATATATCTTATTTTCACCTTACCTCTTCGTATAAAATATGCAAATTAATATATTTAGACAGAAGTATGACAAAGGGAAACAGCAGTAACTATGATAGAGAAGTCTGCAACGACTCTAAGTGAGTCAGGTGTAAGATTAACAATCTATATACATATATATATTTATATATATATATATATATATATATATATATATATATATATATATATATATATATATATATATATATATATATATATCCAATGCAATATAGGTTACGGGCTCACCATAGCCCGTGCTACATGGACACTTCGTTCTGAGTAGCTAAATCTAAAACAACAACAACCAATGCAACAATATTCATCTGTTGTAGTCATCGAAATAATTGAATAGTCAAGGTGCCTTGCGTTCGTTCCCCCGACCATGTAACTGTAATTCTAAACTCAAGACCACCGTTGTGATGATTAGAGCATCGGCTTCTTACCTGTATGCATACTAATTAGCACTCAAGTACTTGATGTGTTCTTTAACAGGCCACTTGTCTATAACCACCGCTGTCGATAATTACAGACATAACTGCACTTCAAATCATCACTGAACGCACTAAAATTCTGCAAAAAATTATCAAATTAATCTTTTTCTTTGTACTAGTTTGTGAAGCTGTTTCCAACAATTTACTGTGAAATGATTTACTAGTATCTAAGAAATCTGGGTTGGCCGAGCAGCTCTCAAGTTCAAGTTCAAATTTATTGAATGTTTATTGAGATAAGAAAGAATTACATCTCAAAGGGATAGAGAAGCTTAGGCTATTTCTACCCCTCAAAGCAGCTCTCATTCTTGGATTAATGTGCTACTTCTTACATCTCGAGTATACAAACCTTTCGTGAATCTAATTCTGATGTGATATAGTCGACAGAGAATTATTTCTTTTACCCAGTTTCACAATCTTTACAAACTTTTGTTAATGTTGTGACAATTGATATGGCGCTGTAGTCTTCAGAAAAGGCATACTTCTTTATCAGAATTTTCAAAAAATGAATGATGAAAACGTTTAGAAGTGTGTTAAAGATGGGACGGGGTATTGTGCTTGAGTTTATTTATATGTTTGGAGAGTGAGAAAGACATCCTGGACCGTATTTGTATGCATCTTCCTTAAGCCGTCATACCAGCAGTGAATACCACTCCCACGGCTCAGGGTCGGTGCCCTCAGCTGCTCATGCAACTGAGGGCATGAGCATCGTCACTTAAAAATAACGCTCATGAGTCAGATTTCCGATATTTCTGATATTTTGAAAACTGCAGGGGGGTTTGGGCAAAATATGACCCATCGCTGTTTTCAGTAATTGGCATATTTTCAGTATATAAAGTCGTAATGTCAAACTCCAAATATGTGCAATGAGTCAGAATTCGGCTCGAAAATAACGCTCATGAGTCAGATTTCCGACATTACAGATATTTTGAAAACTGCAGGGGGGTTTGGGTAAAATATGACCCATCGCCGTTTTCAGTAATTGCCATATTTTCGGTATAAAAAGTTGTAAAATGAAAATGAAAATTAGGTGTAGAGAGTCAGAATTCGGCTCAAAAATCAAGCTCAAGAGCCAAATTTCCGACATTTCAGATATTTTGAAAACTGCAGGGGGGTTTGGGCAAAATATGACCCATCGCCGTTTTCAGTAATTGAAATTTTTTCGGTATAAAAAGTCGTAATTTGAAAAAGCAAATAGGTGCAAAGAGTCAGAATTCGGTTCAAAAATCACGCTCAGGAGTCAGATTTCCGACATTTCTGATATTTTGAAAACTGCAGGGGGGTTTGGGCAAAATATGACCCATCGCCGTTTTCAGTAAATGCCTTATTTTCGGTATAAAAAGTCGTAATTTAAAAATGAAAATAGGTGCAAAGAGTCAGAATTCGGCTCAAAAATCACGCTCAGGAGTCAGATTTCCGACATTTCAGACATTTTGAAAACTGCAGGGGGGTTTGGGCAAAATATGACCCATCGCCGTTTTCAGTAATTGGCATATTTTCGGTATAAAATATCGTAATTTGAAAATGAAAATAGGTGCAGAGAGTCACAATTCGCCTCAAAAATCATGCTCAGAAGTAAAAATTCCGACATTTCAGATATTCTTAAAACTGAAGGGGGGTTTTGGCAAAATATGACCTATCGCCGTTTTCAGTAATTGGCATATTTTCGGTATAAAATGTCGTAATATGAAAATGAAAATAGGTGTAGAGAGTCAGAATTCAGCTCAAAAATCAAGCTCAGGAGCCAAATTTTCGACATTTCAGATATTTTGAAAACTGCAGGGGGGTTTGGGCAAAATATGACCCATCGCCGTTTTCAGTAATTGGCATATTTTCGGTATAAAAAGTCGTAATTTGAAAATGAAAATACGTGCAGAGAGTCAGAATTCGGCTCAAAAATAACGCTCAGGAGTCAAATTTCCTACATTTCAGATATTTTGAAAACTGCAGGGGGGGTTTGGGCAAAATATGACCCATCGCCGTTTTCAGTAATTGGCATATTTTCGGTATAAAAAGTCGTAATTTCAGGCTCCAAATATGTCCAGTGAGCCAGAATTCGGTTAAAAAATAATGCTCATGTGTCAGATTTCCTATATTTCCGATATTTTGAAAACTGTAGGGAGGTTTGGGTAAAAATGGACCCCATCGCTGTTTTCTCTAATTGCTATTTTTTCGGTATAACAAGTCGTAATTTAAAACCAAAAATATGTTCTCATGAAACATGTAACGTGACGTATCGTCATCCTCTCCAAGGGTAGGGCGATACGGGAGAGAAGCTGTCACCCAAGCAGCAGGCGCCCCCCACCCCTCCTCTCCACGGCGCCGAAAGTCTCCAATGGAAAGGCAATTCGACAGGTTCCAGCGCCGTCGCAGGAATTGTCAGAACGAGCGAGGTTGGAAGCAACACCGAACTGCTCTAGGGGCTCCAGGTCCGGAGTTTATCTCAAAATTGGTATCAGAAGGGACAGGGACTCCAAACCAGGAGACCGCTGTGATCAGGCCGGGAAAGAACCACTCCAACAAGGGCAAGAACGACCCCAGCCATGGTTAGGTCTTATGTCATTCATACAAGGACCTTCAAATAGCTCAACAAACCACAGTGTAGGACAGAAAACGGATGCTTTTTCACCCATAGTGCTGTGATCTGCGTTCTCGACTCAAAATCGGGGACCCTGGTTCGATCCCCTCATGAGATAGAAATGGTTGATCACGTTTCCTTTCACCTAATGCTTCTGGCCACCTAACACTAAATAGGCACCTGGGAGTTAGGCATCTGTTATGGAGGTTGTATCCTTGGGAAGCTCCGTAGTTCGACCCAGAGAATATATATATCGATACAAATCTAAAGTATATAAATATACATAGGCTTCCTACCCTCAACAATGGAAATTATAAACCCATTGACGAAGCCGTAAATAACATTGATTGTTTCATTTCAAAATCCAGTTAATAAAACTCAAAAACAATGTGGGAAGCTTTGGCAAGCCGCTGGCTTCCTGTCCTCATCGAGACCATTGGCGAGATAGTGGTCTTTATGTAAATTCAGGTAAATATCGAACAACAAAAGGTTTAACTTTGTGTGCCATAAATACGCATTGTTCATTTTCTATGAATGAAAAAATAGAAAATATGTAACTGTTAAACTGAATGGGAAACTATACGATTTGTGTTATCAGCGCGGTTTACCTGAGTTTCCAATCGTCGGGGACAGGAAGCCTATTAGGCTTACCGGGATCCCGCTATGCTAAATACTGCCCTTCTCCAGGCTCCAAACCCCAATTGTTGTCTAACTGTAATTGCGAAAATGCTTTGCGTAGGTTGTTGTTGTTTTAGATTCAGCTACTCAGAACAAAAGTTCCAAGTAGCCGTGCTATGGTGAGCCCGTAGTGTAGTGGAGCATAACCTGGCACAGGACCGGGGCTGTGGCTTTGTGTAGTAGTTGCTCTATTATATACAATTCAATATTATGTATTTTAAGTAATAATTATTGCTAAATATCAGTATTATGAATTTATGTAACAACTATTCAGTCACTACCTTTTTTCCATATCTTTAAATAAAAATTACTATTATAATTATTATTCGTATACACAACCGAACTAACGTGATACATCAATGAAAAACAATACTGGAGCAATATTGGAATTCGCATCCTCGACATGAGTTTCCCATTTATT